ACAAAGTAGTGACGTCAACAGCACTGCTGTTGCACAATCAAATGTGATAGCAACTAAATGTTTACACACCACTATCAACAACTATACAAATTCAATGCCTTAAACAGATATGTCATCACTACATAAAGGCCTTTGTTTGTAACAAAGTCATGGCTTCTTCAGTGCTAATTTTTTCTTCATCTCTTTCATTTGTTTCGATGAAGACAACAGTCACTGGATGCTTTATTCAACCACACAATAATACTCTAGAAACACCACTTCAACTCACCTGGCCTCAAACTTGCCAATCCTGTGGTCACTTCCATGGCCTCCTGCCCACCTCCCATAAGCACCTGCAACACACACAATTGCAAGGTTCGAGCTCACTGATGATCTACTAAGATACACATTGCACAGCGACTACTTCATCTGACATGATCCATGATTGGAGAAATGGCAGCAAAGTCAAGGAGCTGCAAATACAACACAGTCAATTGCACACTACGTACAGCATTTATCATCAACTGCCAGTCCACGTCTCAGACTCTAAAACAATCATTAAATAATAATTTCATTTTTACTCCACTCCATCTCAGTGGCTGACTTGAAGCCTTTAACGGCATCACACAGTCATCTCTCTTCAAGGCCTCAAAGGCACAGACAGTCAAGTCACTTAGCTTTACTGGACTGCCATCTGTCAACATTAAAAAGTAACACAAAACCATAACAGCCATTTCATTTCAAACTGTACCACTCATTTCTCCTAAGATGTACTTTAAATATTCTAAAGTCTATTTCTGTACATAACTACATAAGTCAGTGGATTCACATTACGACAGGTCTGTAGTATGGACAGCTTAACCGACACACCGAGACTGAAGAAAATGTCATTGTAAATAAATGGGACAAGTGGACACACTCAGAGTAACCACACCTACTACTGTGTGGGTTTTTTGGTGTATCTTCTTATAACCCCCAACAAATTGTCAATGTTTACTTCTGTTCCCACTACCTTGTATAACAAACTATCAATAAATACAGTATCTTCAAATACATTTATCATTCACTTATCATATAATCTATGAGGAGTAAAAGAGTTCAAAGGAAAAGAACAACTCTTCTCTGGGTGTTTTGTTGTTGTTTGCTGATGGCCAGTGAGGTGTCATTCTGATACTAACATCTTTCAACAACTGTTATCACATCAATCATTTAGACTCAAATGACACAGATCTACCGTCACACAAGAGTTCTCACCTTGGCGGTGTTGTCTTTTGAGGCACTGATGAACGCATGCATTTTCTTTTCACCCACCGGTCTCACTTTCCCACAGTCGACAGCTGTTGTCGGCTGATCCTGTGAAGACATTTTTTGGAGTCCCCTGAGAAGAGCCAGTTAGGGAACGTAGCATGTATCGTGGCAGCAATTCATGAGTGTACGCTAGGGTCAACTGTGTCACTATTACACATTTACTTGGTACAGTATTACAATTATTATGCTTTCATTGGTTTCACAACAGTGTGCTGTTGCATGATAACATAACATTTAATGTCATAACATTGTTGCAGTATGCCAGTCTTCACTTTGGTTAGGAAATGTAAGGGCCTTCTTATGGCTAATTATTAGTGACATCCATGGTGAAGACACAGCAGCATATTGAGCTGAATAACATTAAAGGATACAGTCACAGTCGACGCACCACACTGCTCCCGTGTGTCCGTTGTAGGTACCGAGTCATTCCACACGTTGGTCACCTGTGTGGGGAGACATTGTTGAAGGTAAATATTAAAATGCTTCAATGCAATCATGGCTTCACTTCACACATTATTGGTTTGCTCTGAACTCTAAACTACTGGCACCACCAATAACCTCAGGAAGAAATCCTGCTAAAATTTCCAGACATTGTCAACTTTCAAACACCTCAATTAATGTTCAATCTGTTGCCAATAAACATCCAGAAATCATTCAGTATTCATGAGGGGAGTTATAACCTAAGGGAGAAAAATTAACTTTAAATTACCACTATTTCGCACAACAAGGAAGGGATTTTGTGTTTCAATCAGCGGGGTAAGACTATGGAACAGCCTTGCCATGGAGCTGAAGCAATGTCCAAACATGACACAGTTTAAAAAGAAATACAAAGTCACTCATTTTAAGAGGTATATGGATGAGGAAGGTGTCAGGTAGCATGGTATGTTTGTATATATAGGCAGGTGTGTATAGAATACTAAATGTGTGTTACTGGTATATATATATACACGTATGTGTGTATGAGTGTCTACATGGGGTTGAAAGGAAGACAACTATTGGTTAGCTAAGGAGAAGGGGTGGGAGTTCACAAGTTTTACTTCTTCCCATACCTTTTCGAATGTGCATTCTATGTTTGTCAATAATCAATATGTATTCCTTTTTCTTTCATTTTCATATTTGAAATAAACTTCAATCAATCAATCAAAAAAATCCATGTTGCACTATTTTCCTTTTAACCTGAATGAAAATAAGTTGTGTCCCCTTTTTCATGATTACAGTATGATTTTCATATCACACACACACTATAGAGCATATAGCCTTATGTTTGTAACACACTTGCAAGTCAAAACAAGCAGAGGATTATTCTGCTACTCGACTAGCAGAGTCGTGTTTCCATTTGTAGCTTATTTTTGACGTCAAACTAATTATTATCCTAGAGTCATTTCATGTCACTCACTGATCTTTAGCGATGGAATACAGAAGGTCGCCTTCTCCGTTGTACTTGATCTGAGTGGTGGACCGATCGTGGCCCTGCAGCAGGATGGGTTTCTGTACAGAAAAAGCAATATTTGCAAGTTAATTTCACATTTTCGAAAAGGTGCATCAGCCCAGCTCAAACTCCTGTCAAAGGCCAAACATTCCGATATCAGCGCAACCTTGGTGATATTTTTACATGTTCAGATATAATGTTTTTTGGAGTTTTTAGCACAAATTATTCACTTTTCTTTATTCTTTTCAATAAAGTAAAAAAAAGACACTCAAGGGTGCTATTGTGACCAATTTCCAAAATCGATTTGATTAAATTCACATAAACTAGAATGATGGCACATTCTGGTGAACGTTCTATTTTAGTGACTCATCAAACCAGTACCTTAACATTTAAAAGGTATAAAAGCTTATCACCTGACCTTTACCAACTGACACTTAATACACAATCAGTTGTACTGAGCATGTGTGCCACATTACTAAGTCAAGCACGACGAATGCAGTCATCATCTCAAGTAATTTTCTAACAAGAGCTGCAGCCAGATTTTGAAGTATACAGTGCCTCAGTGTGGCTGGTCAATCAAATTCTACGACATCACATGAAAACCTGTAGAGCAGGGATATCCACACGTTTTTGTCTTGGGAGCTACTTTTCAAATGACCAGGCTAAAGTGATCTACCTACATTGAAAACTCAATATATATATATATATATATATATATATATATTCACTCATATATATATATATATTCACTCATATAAACTGAATCTTATTCTATACATTATGTGCTATATAGTAATAATAATAATACATTTTATTTAAAAGCGCCTTTCAAGTCACCCAAGGACACTGTACATAAAACAAAACAAAAACAGAACAAAAAAACACATACGCCATATAGGTTGTACAGTCTGACTCAATACTTCTATGGTCCCTACCTTAGCCCTATTGATTAGCATCTTACAGTAGAATTATATTTATCATTTTAATTATTATTTTTTTAAATGGAATTGCTCTTGATCTACTGGTAGATCCAGATCTACTTATTGGGCACCCCTGCTGTAGAGCAACTTGTAACAACACTTGATCAGCAACTGTGCAACCTGTGGTCTGTCCGGATTGTAAGCTGTTTAACATGTGTGAAATATTTCTCATATTTACCTGGCTCAGGATAAACAAGAGTGCTGTCACACAACTTCCGCCGTTGGCCAGATGTCCGTACAGAGCACAACCGTGGCTTTTACTTAAAGTCAGAAAATGCAATACAACGACTTCTACTAATTCCAATGTTAGCGACACTTCCAACATATGGGGGGCTTAAGTTTTACCTTTTGGTTGGTTCTTTTCCGGACGAGCCATCCGCTGTGATGAAAACGCTGGACTGCAGCAATAAACACACGCTAGCAGATTAAATTGCCGTCAAAAAAGTTTCTCGAGAAACAAACTGCTTCATAATGTAGTTTAAACTACATTGTGAAGTTACTCATATCATCTTTACCCTTGTGACATCCACACACGAGGATGGCCAAATGTTTGTTTTTAAAATGAGAACGTAAAGCTCCTGGTACGCATGCGCAAACCAGGGAGAGGAAATGACGTAAATTTAATTATTAATGTGAAAGAACGTGTAGATCTGTGTATGTACAAATAAATAAAAAAATAAATAAAAACAGAAATAAATAGAGAACATATGAGACATTTCTTAATAACATTTTAGACCTTCAACCAAACCTGCATCTTAATAAAATCAATTACCAGAAATATTTCTTTATTTTTTTTAATTATATTCTCTCCACTAACTAGTCAAGACTTGACAACAATGGGTATTTATCTTCTGCGATCAGGAGTGGAGAATGAAAAAGGCAGTTCTGAAGGATAAAGAGCAAAGGGAAGAGGGGACCAACCAAAAAATAAAATAAAGAAACGGAAATATATCTGATATGTTCCAGTAACTTTTCCCAGAACGTGTTTGGACACAGATTTATTTATTTTTTTGTACTTCCTGGTAAACAAGTAAAACCAGTCTCCTGACATTTCATTTTCATTTCAAGTGCATTAAATGGAGTTTTAAAATCTTAGACCTGACTCAAATTGTTATACCTTGACATTAAGGTAAGACTCTGTACATGACAAATGATATCTAAAAAAAACCATAATTCACAGGACTTGCCATAAAACATCATTTTTCCACAGAATACATGTATTCATATACCAGCTGCACATGCTTGTGACATAAATGTGAAATATCAGTTAAGACCAAAGGCACAAGGACACACAGCAGGTTCAAATCTCTAATTCAGGCCACAGCCTATAGACAGACTATTTTTAGCTCTCTGATAATAGATTCTTCCATCAGCTCAGATGACCACCTCTGAATTCATAATACACCTGGACTGGGTCTGCTCGGTGCAGCAGCATCAAGCATCACAGCGTGTGTACGGATGACACACCGACCCCGTCCTCGCAGCTCACTATTTTTATATTTATTTGTCTTCACCAAAACATGGCCGTGACTACAGCGACAGCATTAATACAAAAAAACCACGTGAGGATGAATGCGGCCCTATAATCAGATCCATTTCATCCACCTATTGTCTTTTAATTTCTGCTGCACGATCCCGGGGATAAATGAAGAGCCCCTTAATTGAGAATATTCATGGTTCCACCTGGTTCTGCTCATCTAAATAAACAATGAAACAATGAGTCAGTGGTTGGTGAATCACACCTCTCTGCTTGGATCGTCCCACACTCCACCTGTGACGCTGTCTCCCTCGTACAGGGACAGTTTGCGTGCAGGGCTGCAGGGCTGCACTTTTTTCCATTTTATTCATGAATGAAACCGCTCTCATTTAATGTGCAGCTCACAGCCTGGCTGCTTTAGATTGGTTTCTCCAGGCTGTGTGGAGGGAGTGGAGCGGAGAGCTGAAGGCCTTAAGGTCAGTGCTGTTCAAGTGCAAGGAATCAGCAGGAGGGGCCGGAGGTCGGATCAACTGGCTGATTCCTTACCGGCTGATTAACGTTCTCAGAAACAGCGCACATCTCATGTATGTAATAAACCTTATTGCTTATATTGTACAGCAGCATTTTAATCATGGAATGGGGTCTGAGTTTTAACACATGGTCAACAAACAACGGCTGGGTTTATCACAGTGGTTCCTAAACTTTTTCTACGTGGCACAAACACATACTGTATATGCAGTTTTCTGTGTAGATTTGTTGGTATTTATGTGCTATTATCGCACTGATGTGAGTCGCTCTAATCAGGTCAACACTGTATTCAACTGTCGCCCCACTCTGACACTATGAAAGAACAGTTAGGCCAGTTTTTTTCCTTGAATGTTTTATGAGGAGACCTACTTTTCAGGATGTGAATGTATGGCAACCCAGTTTTTAGTACTGAACATGTGTATTAGAAATATATACGCATAAATAAAAGTCATTTATATTTTTCATTATTGTAGTTTACTAATGCGATAAAAAAATAATACCCTTTTTTATGTGAAAAAAAAATATATATACTGATCCTTAGTGTTGTTGTTTAAAGGTACAAGTACCAGTACTATGAATATACACAAATGTGAAATCTATGCTACATGGTCTATGCAAGTACCAGTACTATGAATACACACAAATGTGAAATCTATGCTACATGGATAACATTAGGATAATAATACAACATGAGCCGCCTCCCAATGTGACAAAAAAACATTTCGACATCCGCCTCTGACCGGGGGGGTTGCGGAGGACGACAACATTAACTACGCTGCACGTCGACCAACATCATTTTAACACCATTAAAATTTTTCCCGCACCAATAGTGTAGGTGGTGACAAGTGTTCACTCAGGCTCCAACCGAAGCCAGAGCAGAGCAGATGGAGGCATCGATGCTTCAACCACACAGGGGGAACCCAGACAGATGGACGCACGGAGTGAAGCACCTGCTCTTGGCTCCACATCTTCTGGTTCACAGAGGGAATTAATATCTCATGGGGCTTACAGGACACACACTAACCAAACAAAGTACGGGTTTATCTGCATTTTGCAGCCACGAGGCGTCTGTGAACTCAGGCATTTTATTTACCCTAAGCTCAGCCTTTTCTCTCCTCATTGAGATTCACACTAACGACTCACACTGTTTGTTGTATCCCAGACAAAAATTTTACTCTTAACTCAACGGTGTAGCGGTTATCACGCCTGCATAATGAATGGCGCCTCCTGTGGCAGCCTGGACGATAAAGCTCCTCTGACAATTTTTATTGACATTTTATTGTCCAAATATCCACCAATTTGGAATGTTGACTCGACTTATCTCGACTTGACCCAACTCGATGTGACTTGACGTGATTTGAATTTGAATTTTCTGAAATGCCCCTTTCCTTTAGCCTCTTGTATCCGTGGCTCTGACCTGATACTTCTGCTCTAGCTCTAGTACTTCAGAACGTTCACCTCTGTCCTCAGAAATGGCAGAGTGCACAGTTTAATATAAGTCGTGACGTTTCTGTGACGCAGCCTGCTTAACTTGTAAATCAATGCCAGCCCCAAGGTTTGTTGTGTTTGTTGAATTTAAAGGAGGAATGCAGGAATTTCCTGTAAAGGATGTGCATTTTAAAAATGGAGCGCTGTTCAAAAGTTTGCGGTAGTAATGAGAAAAATTGGTCTTCATGCAAAAAGTAAAATAGTTCCATGTACATGATATATACTTTTGAACAATTCCATGACACATGACATACACTATAGCAGGATTTAAAAAACATAAACAACCAAAGTAGTAATACTGCATTACTAAAGTACCTCTAAGGCCAAAAACTCAAAGCAGACTGGAATTTCCAGATGTGCAGTTTAAATTCTTCTGAAGAAGCAGTGAAGCAGTGAAATATACCCAGTAGTATCTTCAGCTCAAAACTGACTTAAATTGGTTAAAAGGGTTTAAAGTAGTAAAAAAAAATGGTAGCATTATAAATATTTCAATTACAGTGTTTGTTTTTGTTTTTTCCTGCAGCCAACAAACGTTCCATCTTTTGTTTTTCACAGTGCCCGGTCTGTTATTACAGCAGCTACCTACACTGTCACCGTCTGTCTCTCCCCTGAAGTCACTGGAGACATGTTCATATTGGAATTTTCATAAATGTAAAACAACAGCAGCAACAGCAGCAACAACACACACGTTGTCTTATAAAATGGAGTATAACAGGTCATTGAAATTCACACATGCGCTCTGCTTTCTGAGCAGATATGAATCACTCCAACCATTGTCATATCCAACGCAGATGGCACTCCAGTTCACGAGCATCGAAACGAGGACTGTTAAATCAGTCAGCATCAGGTTTTGTTTTTCGCAGGCACGCTCAAGCATAAACCTTCATAAACATACCAGGTTCCCTTCAACAATTTCTGGTACAACTTTTTAAGATGCTAATTAGGTAATTAATTAATATCCTGGCTATTTTTAATCATTCCTTAAAATGGAATTTAAAAAAACAACAAAAAAAAACAAAACAAAAAAACAAAAAAAAAAAAAACAAACGGAAAGGTGGCAGCCTCCTTCTGTCATTAATCTGTATAATTAATTTCACCTGTTGTCATGGTTATCTTAGCTCCTTCTCCGCTCATTATTACCAGTGATTAGCCCGCTCCTGCTAGGTAGATGTGATATTATTGTAATTTATTTCTAATTGTCTATCTGTATGGTCTGTTTACCTACCAAACTACTACCTACTGACATGGCATTCATTCCCCAATGAAAAACCAACATCCATTGTCAAAATAAACTAATAAAAAATAAAATAAAATAAAATAAAATAAAATAAAATAAAATAAAATAAAATAAAATATAGCACCAGCTTCTGTCACATTGTAGTTAGTCATACAGAATCATGGCATCTTGGATGAATATTCCCTCAAATGGGCTGCAAAATAATGCGTGACGTGAACCTCTTACGGTGTGTAAACAGTGTTTGATTCCCCATGATGTAATTTGTGTATAACTTCGTCTGCCCTGAACACTGAATACACAAACAATTTGAGATAATTATCTCCAAAAAGCGATGATTAGCTCCTGTGTCTGTGTTTTCACTGCCAATGCGCCCAAAGTCCCTGCCAAACCAGGAATCCTTGGTGATGAAATAGAGCTTTGCCAGGAGACCATCAGTAATACTGGCAGGTTTTGCTGCTTTTATTACAATTATTACCAATTTTCTATTTATTTTTTTCTTGTTCACAACCACTCACCCACTCAATCGTAGCAAAGCAATGTTATTTTTACAAACAGCTGAGTTTGGTTCCATCCAGATATTTTTCTGCTCTAATTGAAATGTAAAGCTCAGCTCTTCTCGGAGAAGCGTCATTACCGCGACTGATCACGCTAATGTATTTTTAAGACACCCAGCTTACGGGCTAATTAATATCCCCCTGGAAAAAGCTGCGAATGGCTGCTGTAGGAGCTGCTTCATTACCACCAGCTGTCATAATGTTTATAGAAACTCTTATATGCAAAGTTTAAGGGTGGCTTGTGGCGAGATTCAACAACATTACTGCAACAGGAGAAGAAATGTGAAGAGAATTTAACACATTTCAGAAGTAATTTCAATACTTTTCTGTGTTTGCAGATGCAATCGTGCTATCTGTAATGAAATATGTGCATTTTATAAAATTTTGTGCATTTAATGATTTGGGATTGAAGCGATATTTAAACAATCTTTCAAATTAAAAAATAAAAATATAGCAACTCCATGATTTTATATGATGGTAATAGGATGATAGAAGATCCTTCAAGTCTTAGTCATCCAACAACAACAACAAAAATCTTACATGTATAGCTTCAATGTTCCAGTCAAATGCATTCACTTATTCACATGACACTTTACTTTACAAATGTATCTCATATAATAAGAAATTTCCAAGCAGTCGTTTCAGTCCACGTTTACATCTGTGGTGATTCTGGCGCCGGAAAACGTGGCTGTGTCTTTAAGAGCTGCTGTCAAAGGCTATATTCAGATCACCCAGATGAGGTGACCCTCATTCAATTTTTTTAGGTTGAAAACTCAGACGGGATAGTTCAGGGATGGCTGAATATTGTTTTCTTAACATCTAAGTCCGGGGATCAGACATAGATCTGATTTAAAGCTGTGTGCCATGAATAAAAATGTCTGATCACAATCAGTGCACTGAACAGTCAGAGCAGTCAGTGGAAAGAAAGTAAAATTAAACAGATTGAGTTCTTCCAACAGAAAGCCTTTATCTCTTACTACTCTTTGCTTCATTACAAAATAGTTTCCGTTTCTGGCACATTTAAAAAAAAAAGCTGTCAAAACATGCGCGTGTGTGCATGTATGACATGTATGTTAAAGTGAAGTGAAGACACGTGTGTTCAGAAACACCTCCTATGGAATGTGAACAGAAGCCACTGTGTCACCGTGAGTGTCTACGGGTCTGCACCAGTTCCGTGGTGCTGCAGAATGTTGCTGCAGAATGCAGCTGTACGTACACACCAGGCATGCAAGAAAAAATGACCTAAAAAATAAACGTGTACTGCCTGAAAAATCTCTCAGGCAGCTGATGGAGGATATTTGACCATGTCTTTTCCGCTTATACCATTAAACAGCAAGCCCTTTAAAAATAAAAATAAAAATAAAAATAAAAATAAAAATAAAAATAAAAATAAAAATAAAGATAAAAAAATAAAAAAATTAAAATTGCTGCAAGGCAGGCATAAATAAAGACACAGCTCAGAACAATTATCTGAGACAGTGCTGCAAGGCAGGCGTAAATAATGACACAGCTCAGAACAATTATCTGAGACTACACATTTGTAAAAGTCATTAAATGTGCTTTCGTTTTTTAAACTTTCAGCTGGAAATGACTGCAGTTACGACGGACATTTGAACCCGTTAAACACTTCACCGCGGAGTCTGCAATCACATACTTGAAATCAATTGCAATTACATCTTCCCCTGCGTTGCGTCTCCCCACAGAAACCATCAGAGCGTGTCATCACCAATCCTTACTGCGTTATTCCCGAGTCACATCCATGTTTGTTTTGGAACGCGTTTCACCGTTACTCATGCTCTCAGCTGGTGGCAGTCACATAGAAAATACAAACAGGGATCAAGAGTTAACGCGGTTTTTATTTCACAGAAGTTAAAACATCACCTCACGACAGCGAGTAAAGCTTAAATAAGGGAACGAGACAAAAGGACGAGGCTCAAACTCCTCATTTTGGTACCAAAACTCCACCAATAATATATACAAAAAAGGAACCCCACGTTGGTTCTGACAGATTTATGAATAAATAAATGTCCATTATACATATGCCATGTTTAATATAAACAAATATTTGCAGCACAAATTGCACTTGCCGATGTCTGTGAGGTAACAGCCAAACCAGTCAGTTTGTTAAATGGGAGACAATTACTGAGAACTACCACGGAGCTGGGACCTATGACCGGGGTCATAGGTCACTCTGCCATCCACAGACCATAATATATTAAGTTCTAATCATCCACCGGCTTCACTGTCATTTGTTAGAAAAGAACAGTGCATTCAATAAATCCATAAAAATCCATGTGAACAGATGTTTGGTGTCAGTGTTCGGCCATGTCGTCCCTGTCATTTTGTTCGTTTTTACACTAACGGTCCTTAACCCCAAGGACTCCACGACAACATACACAAGATCACAAAATAATTTGTTTAAAATAGAAAATACATAATTGAACCATAAACAAACACAGTGTATTGTCATCAGATCATCATCATATAATAATATAAAGTAAATGTAAACTTTAAATTAAAGAATCTGTTGTTATTTTGCCAATCAGTTCATATGACATTTTTTAAAATTCCTTTAAAGTTTTCTACATACCGTCTGGCTTATTTCTGGGAATGACAAATACAGAGGAAATATATATATATATATATATATTTTAAAAACGCGTCATTTTTATACTTATAAAAACAAAGAATTAGTCTTACACCAATTCAATCTTTTTTTTTAAATAAATATAAGAAGTTCCTATATACAAAGCAGTTGAAGAACCTGCTGCTAAAAAGAAAACAGAATTGTAGGATAGACAAAAAAGAGACCAACAGATTTAAAAAGTGCAGAAAAGGGAGGCAGAAAAGTCTGAGTATAAAAAAAACAAAAAACAAGTCTGAATGCAAAGACAAACATGAATGTTTTAAAGGAAGATGTTTGAAAAGACTGGTTACACACACAAAAACATTTTAAAAATGTAATAATGTAATAATGTAATGGAATAATAATAATACCAGGAAATATATAATTACAGTACAAATATTGTGTTAACAATATTGACCAACATAATTAAATGTAAACAAAGTAAAAGAAATGTCATGTTTGTTTAAAGTCAGTCCACAATAATTGTGGCAACTGTTTTTTTTTTTTTTTGTTTGTTTGTTTTTAGGTCTAGTTAGTTCATCCGGTTTACAGTGCTTTTGAAACCATTCCTGCGGACCACAGACCGTTTACAGTCCGTGACAAATCAACTGTCTGTTAAGGTGAACCTCAAGTATTTAGGCGGAAAGACGATGCGGATGCAGAAATATCGAAATATGTGTTTGGATGTGACGTAAGTGGAACGATCCTCTGCAATCCTTTCAGACGCAAATTCTCACTGTAAATCCATCCTAGTAAAAAAAAAAAGTTTCATCATTTCCATCTCAGAACTGCGACTCGGATTTTGGCACATTCAGTCTGATGGCAGCCGGGTCCAGGCTGGGACAGTCTGTCCACATGCCCAGCGCGCCTGTCTCCATGGTGGAAACAAAGACACCTGAGTACCGGGACAGGTCGCCGAAGCTGATGTGCAACCTGCGGTCCGCCTGCCTGGGGCAGCACAGCAGCCGCTTGAACGCCTTCCTGAAGTCCGGGCTGCGGCTGTAAATGATGGGGTTAAAGGCTGAGTTGACGTAGCCGAGCCAGTTTAAGAAGACGAACACGTCTTTGTCCACCACCTCTGCGCAAAAGACGCGCACCACGTTGACTATGAAGAAAGGCAGCCAGCAGAGGGTGAAGGTCCCCATGATGATGCCCAGAGTCTTGAGAGCCTTCTGCTCCCGCAGGGCCATCATCCTGGACGGCTTCTTCTTGTACTTGGAGGAGAGTCCGGTTAAGGTGTTGTGAAACCTGCCCTCGCACTTGTCGATTTTCCTCAGATGATTCTTCGCCTCTCGGTACACGCGTGCGTAAACGAAGATCATGACGAGCAGAGGGATGTAGAAAGAGATGATGGATGAGGAGATGGCATAGGCTTTGTTAGTGACGAAGTCGCAGCACTGCGGGTCTTCGTAGCAGCGGGTGTCCACGCTGTCCCGCGACCAGTGCATCATGATGGGGAGGAAGGAAACCAGTGCGGAGATGGCCCACACCACGCACACCACGGCTCTGGCCCGGGATTTGGTCAGCAGGCTTTGGTAACGGAAAGGCGACGTGATGGCCACGTATCTGTCTATGGCGATTACGCACAGGGTCTCGATGCTGGCCGTGACGCACAGGACGTCCACGGAGATCCAGAACTCGCAGAAGAAGGAGCCGTAAAGCCAGGTGCCGCGCACCTCCAGAGTGGCACCGATCGGCACCACCAGCAGCCCCATGATGAGGTCTGCGCTGGCCAGCGACACGATGAACACGTTGGTGAGGGTCTGCAGCCTGTGCGTCCTGGCAATGGCCACGATGACCAGTATGTTCCCGAACACGATGAACACGACGATTAGGGCCATCACCACGCTCATACCCGCTGTCCACTGCTCCGACGCGGCGGAGGTGTCGGGCGCGTTGTCCGCGGTGCCATTGTGAAAAGCGACCGGTGAGGACGCACCACCGTCCTCCATGGTGGGCTGCTGCGCTTTGTGCCACTCCAGGTCCGGGTCATTCACGCGCCTCTACACGGTGCTCCCATCGTGACGCGCTCTCCCGAGCCACTGGTTCTGGTCCTCACTCCTCACTGATCGATCCACAGCTGCTTTGTGTGGCGAACCAGGAACGAGGGCTGCTGCACATTAAGCAGGACGTCAACAGGCTGTGACATCACCGCTGCTCTCGACCAATCAGATGGCTGCGACCCACTAATTGTAACTAAAAGTTATGGAAGTAAACCTCTGATGGTTGCCAACTATA